ACACACACACACACACACACACACACACACACACACACACACACACACACACACACACACACACACACACACACACACACCAGTCCTGTTATAGTTACCAGTCTGTTGCTCGAATCAACCTAATGGGCAGCTAGGCTGAGAGCGAGGGAAGGAGCTGGGCTCTGTAGGTCCAGACCGATGCTCCATGTTGTAGCAGGACAGAACCTGAAGAATCATGCAGGACACCCCATCTTTATAGGACCTTCCTTCCATGCCAGTCTATGCATTTGGTCTTGTCAGGCCTCTAATCAGTCTGACAGTTGTTTACGCGCCGATAACAGTATGCTAACGATCCCCTCTGGGTGGTGTTGTTCTGGGGGGAGTCGTTATCTATTCCTGGTCAAGGGGCACCTGCCTCTTGCTTCTGGGGTTGTCAATCTGCTCTGGTCCGCTTTCTTTCAGTGCCTCGTAGTCTCGGCCCCTTCTTCGGCCATCTGGACGTGCAGTGGCCTTCACACTTATCTTTCTTAAAACAGTCTCCCTCTCATCCTGGACTCGGGGTGTTATATAGTTGCAGCATGGCATAAAAATCACTTTTAGTACCAGGCTACTTCTAACACTAAAACTTCTTTTCTCTATTACAAGGTCTTCTATAACATTCCATTCCTTTTAATTTACCTTTATCCGAACATTGGAAACTACAGCTAACATTTGCCCACACATTAAGCATTGCAAACTTTAATCAAAGGACCTAGACTTAAACTAAATTAATCTTAAAACTTCATTCTATTACAATATGCATAATTCTTATACTAATCATTAGTATTGGGGTTACACCAGGGCTTAGACTTCAATATTTTCAGGCAAAAATCTCCCATAGAGCTGGAGTTAAGTTGTAAATCTGCTACATAAAGCTTGACAAGAGCTGCACCAGGACAGAAAGGCTGGAGTGTGTGGGAGGGACTCATTTCTGTGGTATCTGAGTGCCCCCTCTCTAACAGACCCCGAGGTGGGGAAGTATTATCCCCTTCAGAGAGATTGGGAAACTGAGGCAAGGTAAATCTGTGGCAGACCCAGGACTAGAACCCAGTTCTCCTGACCCCATTCCCCCAAGCTTTTGCCACAAATCACTGTTCTTACTCCTCTGGAGACAGCAGGGACTGTGGGCAGGGCCGGCTCTAGGCACCAGCAAAACAAGCTGGTGCTTGGGGCGACACATTTTTAGGGGTGGCATTCTGGTGCCGGCCATGCCGCCCCTAAAAATGTGCCCCGGCCGCCCTAGCTCACCTCCGCTGCTGCTGCCACGGTGCGCGAAACAGCTGATTCGCGCACCGCTACTCGCCCTCCCTCCCAGGCTCTCAAACCTGGGAGGGGGGGGAGACTCCGAGTGGCTGCGGCATGGCGCCACTTCTCCCCCTCCCTCCCTCCCTCCCTCCTAGGCTTGAGAGCCTGGGGGAGGAGGCAGGGCTGGGGATTTGGGGAAGGGGCGGAGTTGAGGCGGGGCCGGGGGTGGGGTAAGAAAAAAACGGGGGGCGGGGCAGCCAAAATTGCTTTGGGCGGCAAAAATCCTAGAGCCAGCCCTGACTGTGGGCAGTGGTCAAAGAGGTGCAGCCACTTTCCTGCTTTCTCAGTGTGTACGGGCTGTGGGGAGAGAACTGGGATTCAGACCCTGTCCTTCAGAGCAGGTGGGCCTCACTCCCATGAGCAAGGGATGTGAAGGGCTGGAGAAGGAGACACATGCATGGGAATATTGGGGGGGAGGCACATTGATAGATTTCCCAACCAAGCAAAGGAGATCGGCATTAGTCCAGCCAGCACAGGCCTGCAGTTTAAGAATGGCAGGAGCCGGTTTGTAGCTGCCCTGAATTAATTCCTGTTGGAACTAGAGCAGATCTTTTAGAGAAACATCCAGTCTTAGTTTTAAAATGGTCGGTGATGGAGACTCCACCCTGGCCCTTGGTCAGTCACTGCAAGGGTTAATTCCCCTCCCGGTTCACAATTTACACCTTGTTTCCTGTCTGAATTTGTTTAGCTTCAAACTTGTACCCATTGGATCTCATGATACAGCAGTGACTGGGTGAAAGGCTCCACCTGCTCATACAGGAGTCAGACTAGGTCATGAATAGTCCCTTCGCACTTCAAACTCTGTGTCTGTCCAGCCGGCAAGTGCTATGGCAGAGTCTGCAGCTCAGCTGAAGCGGGCAGGGGGGAGGGATAGCTCAGGGGTTGGAGCATTGGCCTGTTAAACCCAGGGTTGTGAGTTCAATCCTTGAGGGGGCCACTTAGGGATCCAGAGCAAAATCAGTACTTGGTCCTGCTAGTGAAGGCAGGGGGCTGGACTCAATGACCCTTCAGGGTCCCTTCCAGTTCTAGGAGATAGATATATCTCCATATTTAAAAACAATTCCCCTACCAAGGTCACTGTCAAACCAGCTCCTAACAGGAACTGCTTTTATCGTGTGTCCTGCGCCCTGCGACGCTGCTGAGTACAGTCAGCACCTGCCCTTAATTTTCTAGTTACTAGGGGGAATCCTTTTTTCTTCCTTTCTGGCTGTGTTTTACAGCACATAACTGAAGTTCTGTTCTGTTACAGCGTCGCTGTATCTCCCTTGTTTCACAATTCAGAGCTGCAGATCCCTCAAGGCAATAGCGACTCTGGGTAACTGAGGTATAAGGAACACTAGAACTTGCCCGTAACCACCCTCACTAACCCTGCATTTCTAAATGCAGACTTACCACTCTGCATGTCAGGTAGCACCAATGCCCAGCCAAACCAGGACACGGCCTGGGACACTTCGGGCTCGTGCGTGCTGGCAGAGTGAGCTCGAAAAGCTCCTGCACGGCACTGCCCTTGCACCAGCTGAGTAACTGGCCGCGTGAGGCTGCTCTCGTTCAGCCGTCAGCCTGTCCGTGCACTCCCCAACCTTGGCAGGAGATGGGTAAATCTTGCCTTGGAGTCTGGTGCCGGGCTTCATGAGCCAGGGGAAAGGGGTCGGCTGGTCGCCCGAGACTCACGGCTGGCATTGTAACCCTATTCATGCCAATAGGCCAGTCTGGGAGAATCGTCCCTGCTTTCAGCCTGTCAAGAAGTGCTGTGTTCCTAAAGATAAAGCATCCAGGACTTACCCGCACCAGCCAACGTGTCAGTAACTCATCCCTGGTGAGCCACCAACACTCGCACAACCATGGAGAAGCCCCCTCAGAGGCCGGGATCAGGATGTGCCGCCCGTCTATCACACTCAGCGCAGCCAGCGAAGCCCATTTCATTGACTCCATCAGTTATTTCCTGCGCACTGTCCGGTCACACTGCCGTGCAGCTGGACACGTTTACTGGCCTTGTGCACCTGGATGACGGTCACCCTCCTCGTGGCTTTTCCCAGCAGTAAACTGCTTGCCCGTCACCCGATAGCAATGTGGGGCTGCAAGCTCCCACCTGGCTCTCAGCACCCATTTCCTCACCGTCAGGGCAGCTGCCATCTCAGTGTCTGGGTGCTGCAGGGCTGGGGCGAGTCTGGTGCTCAGCTCCAGGGATGTGGCCTCCCACGTCCAAGAGTTCTGGCACCGCAGCTGGTCGGCCTATTTCTGCATCACGAGCCAATGGCACCGCTCGGCGCCTGTTGGTCAGCAAATGCTTGTCATGGCTGGACAATGTCATGTGCTGATCCTCAGTACCCTGTCTCTGAGCACGGTGTGCCTGGAAATACCAGAGAATACCTTGCCCCGGCCTTAAAATGGACATGAGATTGTTGGCGCTCTGTGTGGCGTCCATGGTTTCAGCAGTGCGGCTGAAAACAGAGCGAATAAGAGTAGATTATGGAACAGTACCACGGGATTTATGGAAATTCAATCCCCCCGCAGTCACAAATTCCCTGCAAGGAGTGAGGATATCCCATAATACACAGCAAAAATTCCCCACAAGGCAGTGCATCAGAAGGTTGTGCAAGGGACACTGGGATAGCAGCCCAGAGTCACATGTCTTTTGCTGATGCAATCCGATGCCATGTGGGCCATTGCATTGCCATAGGCAGCCAACTGTGAACACATCCTTGTACCAGAGAGGCTGGTAGAGGACACCCAGAGTTCTCAAGTAACCATGTAAACACATTCCTAAGAGATGGTACAGGAACACACCGACCCCTCGTAAGATGAGGATGGGATGACAGGATAATGGATATGGAGGTTTTGTTCGAACAAGCAGGTACAAGGATAACAGTGGTAACTGAGCGTATCTGGAGTGTAATACGTAACTTGTCTGTATCAGTTTATAAAAAGAAAAGTCATAGGAGGGTCACCTTTGTGCAGCCTGAAGGGCCTCATTCTGGTGCCCTTCCATTGTCTGCGCTCAATTAGTTGAATACATACAGAACACTTTAGGCCACTAAGGAGTCATAGAATCTCAGGGTTGGAAGGGGCCTCAGAAGGTCATCTAGTCCAACCCCCTGCATGACCACAGAGTAGATGGCTACTCTCAAGGATGCAAAGGAGTGTGTTTCAGCCGGTGCTGTATTTGCTGACAGATGTCTGAGCCTAGAGAGAGGGCTATAGAGACAATGAAGTCAGTTATGAACTGAAACAAGTAACTGAGCCTGGGCAAGGAGGCTGGGACGCTTGTTTTGAGTGTTATATTTATGGTATTAAATGAGATCCAGAAGAGGAACACTAGTGGGATTTGATTGATGTGAGCCAGAAGGTCAACTCAGGCAGCAGCAGAGATCCCAGCAGGCGAACCACTCCCCATGCCACAGAGCAAGGGGAAAAACACAAAACTACCTGCCCATCTGAGCTGGGGGGAAAACTCCGTCCTGACCCCAGATCTGGTGATCAGTATCACCTGGACAAGAACCAGCCAGATAGTCAGAACGAGGATTCTCTGTACCATCTCAGAGCTCTGAGTATATCTAATATTGCTTCAGACTCCACCACCTCCCCTGGGATGCGGTCCCCATGTTTACTCACCTTCACCCCCTGAGCTGATCATGAGGGGGCTGTAAGTTTGGAGAAAATATAATTTATCTGCTAAGCATGCTTATAGAAATAACAATGGAAGTTACTGAAGTTGTAACAGTAAGTAGGAGAACAAATCATTGGGTTATTAGGCTTTGCTATGGTTAAAGGCCTGTTTTATTAGTGCAAAGCTTTGTGGAAGTAGTTATGCTAGAAGCTGTGTTTCAACTGAGAAATGTGCAGGGCTAAGACAATACCCAGGTCATACATTCTGCACTCTCATTTGGTAAAAGAAACAAATAACCACAAAAAAGTACAGTACACTGCAGAATTCTGCAGGAAGGGAGCTTTTGAAATCTGGTTACTAGGCAGCTAGACTACAATAACTGATAGCATGATTAGGAAATGAGTGACATGGGTCATTAATATTAATGATTCAAGGCAGGGTTAGAAACACCTGGAATGCCATATGTGGACAATGGGCAGGTATTCATCTTGTTGTGGTTGCAGAAATTGATGAAATATGGC